GGAGGAGTGGTGGGTTGGCAGAAGCTAGAGATGAGATAGTGGTTAGGTACCGATGTGCACAGCCTTATAGGTAGACTGAGGAGTTTGCATTGAAAATACATTAAAAGGTTTTTCAGCGGGAAAGCACAAGTTGGGTGTAGGTGCAGAATACCTGCACTTAAGATAATACTGGCTGTCCACACACAAAGCAATCGCTTGGATTTGCTACCCTGTTTAAAATGAATGGTTTGGCCGAAGCCGGTTTGGCTCAGTGGATAGAGAGCCTGCAGACTGAAGGTTCCCAAGTTCAATTCCAGTCAAGGGCATATGCGGGGGGTCCCCCAGAACGGGGCATGCAGGAAGCTTGGTCCCCAGGAAGGGGCGTGCAGGAAGCAGCTGATCAATGATTCTCTCTCTCATCATTAATGTTTCTATCTCTCTCTCCCTCTTCCTCTCTGAAATTAAAAAAATATATATTAAAAAATAAAACAAATAGTTTGGCTGATAATCTCCATCTCCTCTGCCACTGACTGATGCAACCACACACTGTAACCTTGTGAGGATAATTTCCAGTCAACGAAGAGAGAGGATTCCATGTGGCAGTTGGAAAGGGGGGAGGGTAGGAAGGAGAGGGAGGTGTAGACGGATGTTTCTTAAGTGACTCATTGTACATAACATAGCTTACCGAGGACTGAGGCCTGAACAAATCACGCCAGGGCTCCTATTTGCTGCCTCCCTACTGAAATGGTTCTTCAGAAGGACTTGTTAGCAAATCTGTGGACGTGATACCCCTTATCAGGCTGTTCTTGATTTGCTTCAGAGCAAGTGAAAAAACCCCCAAAAGATCAAACCCTCCAGTTCCTTCAGCTCCTAAGGCTACTCTGGTTCACAGGTCAACCACTGAGCCACACCCGACTGGCTGCATTCTTTTTTTTCCTCACTCAGACTGAGGACTAATAGGTCACCCCATGGAATCATCCCAGTGCCAGAGATGAAAACCTTCTGGCTAAAACACTCACAGAAGAAACATTCCTTTCCCCTTGAGGAAGAGAGGATTCAGCCCAGCCCAGCGCTTCTCAAATTCAGCGACAGTAAGTTCCAAGTAAAATCATGGACTAAAAAAAAAATGTAGATCTGGGAGCCCCAGTCCAGACCTACTGAATCAGAATCTCTAGGGGTTAGGCCGAAGGAACGGTTTTAAGCAGGCATTCCCAGATCGTTCTGATGCCAGGTTCTGATGCCAGGAATCTGCGAACCACACCGAGCAGTGTAACTAGTTGTCAGTAGTTCTGGCCAGTGGTGGACATTGGCACATGTTTTTTGGGGGGGTGGGGGGGAGGGAGCGGGACTGGTCCGATGAGTCCCTGGACTCATAATCCTTCAGCACAGACAGCTTTGCAAATTATGCATGATGTTTGGTTTTTCAATTCAAGTTATTTCTAGGTTAACTTCTTAATTGAGCTGTTTGGCTCAGCGGAGGACTTTTGATACTTCAGATAAGAGAGGGGTTTAGGAGTAAGCATTAAGTATCTCTGGCTGTGTTTCTGTTATCTTTTCCAGTCCCACTTATCTGAAGAGCCGGGATTTCTCAAAGGACCAGCAACCTTAGAGGGGAGTCTCTATGGGAAAGCAGCACTCTGCCTTTCCTTGCCATGCCCGTTAGAGAACTTTATTTATTAAGAAAAGAATCTCAAAAACACTTCCAGGTATTAGATAAAGATATCGCTGTCTTCTGGGTTGGCTAGGTCCCGAGGTCACGGGGAGCACAAGTTCAGGCAGAGTCCCATTTCTCTCCAAGGTGTCTCTTCACTTCATGCGCTGGAAATCCACGTGGCTAACTCATTAGTGATAACGAGTATTAGATGTTCATAAATCTCCCACAATTCATTGGCTGAAGACATCTTAAATGTGGACTTTTTCGTTTTTATTGTCTTTGGTTGCTTCTTTAGCATGCTTTCGTTGGAGTGTCCAGATTGGAGGTTTTGAAACTTGTTTCTAATTAAGACATGGCTTATTTTCATTGCTTGAGATAAAATGCAGTCTGGGGGACTCAAACCTGAGTTACAAAATGAAGCGCATCTGGGCAGACCTCGGGAGCAGGGGAGGGACGAACATAAAGGCTAAAATAAAGTGTCTGCCAGGATTCTTATGTTTACTTAGTAACTTCTTGGAAAATAAAAATTCCAGCACCTGCATTATAAAAAAAGCACACCTTATAAATGTCCTTCTCTTTGAAACATCTAAATGAACTAGAATGAGTTATGAACTAATGGCTTGTAAAAATTCACCTTGAGCCAGCTACCGAAGACACTACATAAAAGAGGTAGTGGAGAGAGAGAGACTGAGGAAACCCAACCTGCTGTTTGTTTTATCAGTAATGTAACTCAAAAGTAGCCAAGCCCACTCGGGAAGGGGAATCTTTCCCCGTGTTTTGTTTCCCTGCACGGAGCCTGTGAATGCCAAGATCTAATCTGAAGAGGTTTGTGTTTTAAAAACTAACAACCAAGTAATAAAACACCTATAAAGGGGTTTATAATGGGACCAGGGACAGCTTCAGTGTACTATTACCCCTCTAGCCTTCCATCCAACTCCCTGCCCTTTGTCTTGGCTCCTTTCTCACCTTGCTGCCAAGAAGCGAAGGAGCAGGGGCAGCTCGGGCCCCAGAGACGCAGACCGTCTTTAAAAAGTGATGCGTGTGATTGTGGGCTGCATCGGCGCACAGGACCCGGCTGTGCAGCTCGTTTTGTGTGTCTGAGGTAACTGGCCCTGACAAAGTACCCACCTGGTTTGCACAGTGGTTCCTGATGGGGAACCTTAGATGCCAGGGCTGCAGGGGCAGTGGCATCAGGATTCAAGATGCCAACCAGGGCAGGAAGCCTGGGGCCCCCTCTCCCTGGCACCGGGCATCGCCCTGCCAAGGCTCAGGATGTCCTTGAACTCCGGGCACGGACTTGGGTCAACAGGTGGTTTTCCACCCAGGCAGGCCACTATGCCTGCAACTTGGTGCTTTTCTATAAAGCCACCCTTCTCCTCTCAAAGAAATGGCGACTGGGAAGGGAAACTTCGTCCTCAAAACTCTACGGGCCATGTCTCGAGTCGACTTTGCCTGTTTTCTTGAAGTCCCCCCTGCCAGCATCCCTACCCATCTCTGGGCGGGAAGTCCTCGGAGTTTGCAGGGCGCCGGGAGGCGTGTGGGCAGCCGGAGTGGCCCTGCCTGGGCGGCCAGGGGCGCCCCAGCCCCCCTCCTGCGGGCCTCAGGAACTCGGGGGGCCCAGGGGAAGTCTGGAAAACCCAACTTCGCCATCAGCCTTCCTCCCAGCGCTGGCTGCAGGAGCGGGGGGAGGGGGGAAGGGCCCCCCGCGGTACCCTCGCTGCCCCCTCCCCCCAGCACCCCTGCCATCCATCCGGCTCACACCGCCCTGGAGAGCACTCGGAGCGCAGCCCAGCGCTCCTGCTCCCCGCAGGCCGGGAGGGAGCATCCCGGGGGGCAGTGTCCCCCCCAGCCCGCCGCTGACATCCCCGCTCCCGCCCAGGGATGCCGCCGCCGTGCCCTGTCCGCGGCCGCTGAATGTCACTGCTCCCTCTGCCTCCCGATCCGGGCAGACACGGCTCCCGAAGCATCCCCCGCCCCAAAACTGCCGCGACCGCCCGAGGGTGCGAGGCCTAGGCGGGAGGACCAAGTTTGGGGCCCACGGCCGCGGGAGGGGGGCGGACTGGCGAGGACCGCACCTCTCCGTCCGTCCCGGTCCGGCCGCGCACACTCCCCGCCCCAGACGGGCCGGGCGTCCCCATCCTCCCGCGGACACCGACATCCCTGCCCTCCCCCCGAGGGCGGCGAGCGGAGCCCCCCAGGGCGGAGGCAGGTACCCCCGGGGCGGGGACTGGGGCCGGGGCGGGCGGGGTCCGGGCTGCCCCCCGGCCGGGCCGGGCGGGCGGGCGGGCGAGCTGGCTGGCGGCGCGGGGGGAGCGGGGCTGGGCGGCGCTGCTGCCTCGGGCTCTGTGCGCTGCAGCCCGGAGCCGAGGAGGAGGAGGCGGAGGAGGAGAAGGAGGCGGCGGCGGCGGCGGGTCCCGGGCGGGGGGAGCGCGGCGCTGCGGACCCGGGCGGCTGGCAAAGGACGAGGCGGAGGCTGAGCAAGGCAGCGGGGAGACCCGGGCTGCAGCAACAAAGAGCAGCGAGCGACCGGCAGGGCTGCGGGCGAGGTTAGTGGGGGACCCGGGCGGCTGGAGGCAGCGGCGAACGGTACACGTGCTTGCAGACACGGGCGAGTGTGCAGCCGGGGGGTGGGTGCACGCCCGGCGGGGTAGGTGCTTGCCTGCTCCCCCTCGGCATGGGATGGGATGGGATGGGAAGGAGGCTTGCAGTGGCATCGTTCCGCCTGCACTCGGCCTGGGACTCGCAGGTGAGGGGGTGTGTGGGGGGTAAGGATGCGAGCCAGGGGGCGGGCGAGGAGTCGCCCGGGACGGGACGGGACGGGGTAGGGGTGGAGGAGGGGGCGGGATGGAACGCTCCGGGCGGCGCGCCCGCCCGTCCGCGCGCCCCGCCGCGGGGGTTGGCGACGGAGAACCTCGAATTTTAACTTCGCGTGCCCGCCCGCGCGCGCCCGCCCGCGCCCACCCCGAAATCCTGCGGCCGCCGCCAGCGATCAGCTCTCACACAAACTTTAGCTGCGGGGCTAGGGGGTTTGTGGGGCTGGGTGGGGGAGGGGAGAGGGAAAAAGGCCCCTCTGATTGGCGTCGCTTGCAGCCAATAAGGCCGAGCGCCCGGCCAGCGAGGGGACCCAATCCATTTCCAGAGGCGGAGGGGGCGGGGAGGGGGAAGTAGAGGTGGCGCGGCGTCTGGGGGAGAGAGGAAAGGGCTGGACCAATAGGTGCTCGGAAGAGGCGGGCCCAGAGGTCTGTCGATTGGTACTGGCAGTGAACCCTCCCCCGGGATGGCGCCGGAGTGGTGGGGGGGGGAGATGCTGGGTCGAGGGGTGTGTTTATGCGGAGCCGAGATGACCGGCAGGAACCTGCCCCAATGGGCTGCCGCGTGGTTAGTGTGTGGGTGACGGACAGGTCTGTGGGCCAACGAGGGGCCCTAGGCGTCCGCAGCCCTGACCAATGGGGCAGCGCCGGGGCGGGGCCGCGGCTCGGGTTTAATGAGACTTCATTGGGCTGTAATCAGTGTCATGTCGGATTCATGTCAACGACAACAACAGGGGGACACAAAATGGCGGCGGCTTAGCTCCTACCCCTGGCGGCGGCGGCAGCGGTGGCGGCGGCGGCGGCACCTCCTCCAGGCGGCGGCCGCGGCTTCTTTCTCGGGCAGCGCCGGCGCCCAAAGGCAGGCGCGGTGGCGGCGGCGGTGGCGCGCGGCCAGGTCTGTCACCCACCCCGCGCGCTCCCAGGGGGTGGAGACTGGGCGGGAGGGGGGCGGAAGGGGGACGGGGGCTTGTTAGGCCCCTCCCACAGGCCTCTGCGCGAGGGTCACCGCGGGGCCGCTTGGGGTCGGGCTGCCCCTGAGCGTGACGGTAGGGGGCGGGGAAACGGGAGGAAGGACAGTCCCCGCCCCTCAGCGGGGCCTCCAGGGTAAGGGGCGGGACTAGGGGCGCAGGGGCGGGGCCACCCGGGAGTGGGCGGGGCTAGGGCGGTCGGGAGGCGGGGGCTCGGAGGGGTTTTCAGGGTGGGCGGGACTTGGCGGGACGGGAGTGGTGGGGGGCGCTGGTGTCCGTGGAGGACTGGTGAGGACTGGCGAGGGCGTGGATGGGAGGGAGAATGAGGTGTGCACTCCGGTGCAGGAGAGAGAGAAGGAAGAGATGCAATATTGGGAGATGGGAAGGGGGACGGAGGGGGATGCCAGGGCAGGTGAAATGCTGCAGATGGGTGACATGCTGCAGGGGGGTGAGGTTGCAGTTATCCGGGGCAGAGTGGGTTTGGGTTTGGGTGTGGTGGATGTGGGGTAGAGTCGAGAAAGCAGTGCAGAGTAGATGTTGGATTGGGGGGTGTGTGGGAGTACTAGGGGAATGTGAAGAGCAGGCACAGTTGTGGGAATGGAAGTATGGGAATGACTAGGAAGGTTTGTTATAAGTTAGGGGGTCTATGAAGCAGTAAACATGGAAGGATGGTATGGATATGCTTGGGAGAGACTCAGAAAGATGGTAAGATGGTGACATAAATGTGAGGGGAGGATACTTAGAACTTGTAAAATAGACCTATGGCAGAAAAATCTCATGGGGGGTTCGGGAGGGTGGAAAGATAGGTGTGGGTGGGCTGGGCACTAGGGCTGGGGGTATGTGATTGAGTGGACCGCCTGAGGAGTTAGGATGGGGCAAAGAAAGGTGTTGGCTTGGGAGACAGGCGAGGCTGGATTTGAATGTGGGGTAGGAGAAGGAACAAGGTGTCTATCTAAGGAAGAAGGCTATGGGCAGGGTTCAAGGAGTTGTGGCAGACTAGGGACAAGGCAGAAGAGCGACCACAAATCTTCTATGAAGGCATTTGAACTCTGCAGTTGGGAGAGGGTGTTGGGACATGCTAAAGAAGCCAGTGAACCAAGTATGTTTGGGGTGGAGGTACCAGAAAATTCAAGGTAAAAAGTATATGAACACTTTTTCATATGGACAGGAGATCGAAGTATAGCATATAGGAATTAGTTATGGTGTGATAGAGTTCTGTGGTTCTAAAAAAAAAAATGGTGTGTGTGTGGTTTGTTTGTTTTTGATATGACTATGAGTAAAGTACATTCTACCGGTTTTACTTGTGTACCCTAGATTTTCTGGGATAGCCCTGAAATATTATAAAACACTCTATTATTTTGATATTCATAAATTCTTCACACATGTATCAAAGTGGATTGGGACAATCCTTTTATGTTTTTGTAAAGGGGAGATTGCATGTTTCCGTAAAGGATAAGATTCTTACCTGAGATCTATCTTACTTAGGGTTGGAAGTTGGGGAGGCAAAGTGATGGTTTAAAAAAGAAAAGAAAAAAATAGAAGCAGAAGGACGTTTTAATGTTAAAAGAGGAACTGAGGGGAATGACTGGCTGGTGGTAATGACAAATTTTGCCTACTAGCCATACCCAGGCCTCTGAGTAGCATGGGTGTTGTGTCATTGCTGTTATACCAAATGTTTCTCTCATGCACTACTTGTGAAGTTAAGGTGGGAACTGTCAGATATAATGCCTAACATGAAGGAAAGCAAAATAGGGTGAGGTAGTTGAGGAAGTTTGATCATTTTAATGTACTTCAGAAACTTTCATATATCAGTTAGAAGATTTAATTTAACTAACTGATCTGGTTTTGTTAAATGCCAGGATTCCTAACAGGCAACTTTTTAGTCTCTTAGTTCCCTGCAAAATACTTTCAGTTTTTCTATACATAGGTGCCTGTAGTTGCACAAAGTGAGAGAAAAGGAAATTGTCTTATGAAAGTAGGGGTGTGTGAGCTGTAGTGATCATTTCTCTGCTTGCAGAAAAAGAAATGATACATAGATGGGAGAAGTATGATTAAGGGCTATTTCTTCCCTATAATGCTTTTTAAAAATTTTTTATTTTATTTTTTAATCCTCACCTGAGGATATTTTTCCATTTATTTTTAGAGAGAGTAGGAGAGAGGGAAAGACAGAGAGAAATATCGATGTGAGAGATACACATCGATTGATTGCCTCCTGTCCGAGCCCTGACCAGGGCCCAGGCCGAGGAGGAGCCTGCAGCTGAGATATGTGTCCTTGACCAGAATCCAACCTGGGACCCTTTGGTTTCCAGGCTGACGCTCTATCCACTGAGCCAAACTGTCTAGAGTGCTTTCCTATAATGTTTTAATTCTCATTTCCAAAGCACCTTTGAGGACCTTTATGTATAGGACTCCCACAGTCCTCCACAACTTTTGTATTATCCTTTCCACCTTGCAAGATGTTTCTGGTCTGGGGAAATTGTGAACAAAGCTGGAAATGTGAACAAAGCTTTACCTACCCATCATCTGGTGCACATGTGTACATGTTTCTCTAAGGTGTACACCTAGGAATGGAATTGCTTGTTCGTAGGTGACCATTTATCATGCCATATGCCTGTTGTCCCACTGTAATCAGTAAAACACTCTTATTTCTCAGAAATGTCTGGATTTGGAAGATGAGTTGTACAGTCTTCCTAGTCATGGGGTTATGCTTGTCTTCAGCTTGACTAGGTGCCAGTCAAACTTTCCCAAAGTGTTATATCAGGTTACACTCCTTCCACAGATATATGAGAGTTCCCATTCCTCTCCAGCTCTATCTTGTTAGCTTTTCAAGTTAGCCAATCTGGTAAACTTTGCCTTTACCTGCTATTAATCAGGTTGAACAGCTTTTTGTTGGCTAGGTGGATTTCTTCATGTATAAGGTTCCTGTTCAAGTCTGTTCCCTATTTTTTTTATTTTTATTTTTTTAATATTTACTCTGGAATCAAAGTCTTTTCATGTGTATGTTGCAAAATGCTTTCTTCCATTCTGTGGTTTGCCTTTTCACTCTCTTTATGGTGTCTTTAAATGAACCAAAGTTCTTAATTTTAATGGAGTCAAATTTATTGGTCTTTTCTTTATGATTAGTGCTTTTTGTGTCTTGCTTTAACTCTTTTTCCTACCCTTAGGTCAAGTAGATATTCTATTTAGTATTATCTTCTAACAGCTTTGTTGACCTTAAAAGATGTGTGATTATAAGTAAAATACAATCTTCTTGATCCTATCCTCACCTTTATAAATCTGTTTTTATTTTTCCTCTCTTCTGTTTTCTGTCTTGACTTTTTACTTTTCTGCAACTATAACTAAGATCCAGGTGCTGACTTCTCCTGTCTCTTAGGAGAAAGTGGTCATATAGACAAGTTCAGCCAGATTCGATTTTACAGGTCTCTAGTTGACTGTATTGCCCTTTTTTTCCTTTTATGAGCTAGCATTTTAGTGTGTTCCTGCTATATGTCTGTCACTATCCTTGGTTCTTTCATATTTGTCATCTCAAGTATTCCTCTTTACAGTTCTACAAAAAAGAGACGAGAAAACTTGAGACTTACACTGATTAAATAACATGTCTAGTATCCCGTAGCGTAGGTAGCTAGCAAAGTGAGGACTTGATTCCTGAGCTCTCTAGATACATCCCATGATAGCACACCTTACTGAATAAGATTCCAGAAGCCTATTTGATAATATCTCAAAATGATGAGAATAACATTACTTTTAACATCATCCTAACTAAAGCATATAGGGACAGTTATTATGAAACTGGATAAAATTATTGACTTCTGCGTATAAAAAATAAAATTTAGAATAGGTAAAGTCAGAGTAGACAGTGGACCTTAAGGGGTCCTTGGATGGGCAATAGAGGTCTGAAAGCCCTTGAAATTGTATTCAAATGTATATATGTAGAAATATTCATTTAAAAAAAAATCTTTAATTTTTCTTGAGATTCTCAGAGGGGAACCCTAGTTATTTCCAGGCTATACTGGATATCCTGTTTGAAGATATCAAGTGATAAAGTTAAGTGGTCTGTGTTTTCAGGATAATCTTTTACAAATTTAGATGACAGATTTTTTTTTTTCTTGTCATTAAAATACGCTGAAGCTAATTTGTAATCAGGAAGAAATCTAGAGTTGAATAGAAAATTTTTAAAGTCCAAGAAGACACTCTAAATTTAGTTGATTATTTCTTAAGTGAAAGCGCTTACTTATATACATCATTACTAATCAGTGTATTTTGGCTCCGAAGGCCCGATGACTTCTAATGACTTTGCATCTTGTCTTTAAAATCCTGTTTTACAAGGGATCAGATTTCCTGAGAGGTTCTTTGCAGTGTGATTAAAGTTTAGAGACTGAAACTATTGAGCACTTAAATGCAGGGGTGACTGTGCAAACCTAATTCCTGGCTTCACCAGGAGATTTGGGACATGTCTCTACTAATTGATGGTGACGATGTTGAAACTAATCTTTGTGAGGGATTATGGAAGCCATAATAATTTATTGATGGTTCAGTTATTGTTTGTTGAAGCAGATTTACACAATTATAGTTTAATGACATAACAAGGATATTGTCAGCTAGGAGAGCATGGCATGAAAAATTAAACTTCTAATTAATTTAATATTAGTTGAAAAGATAATTTTCATGGTGATTTAGCCTCTTAGAGATCCTTGGAAAACATTATTAGCTTAAGAATTAAAATCTCTCTATGTTAATGAGTAGTGAGAAAGAATTTAGGAGTATTCTAAAAAGATGGGGAATTAAATATTCAATTAAACTAGCATGTATTGAGTACTTACTCTGGGCTTGCTGCCTAGTTAGATATATAAATATAAGTTGAACCAGATTGATGTCTGGAGAAATGAAATACTGGTTGCTTTTGTTTGTCCCTTCAATCATCCTTCCCTCCAACCTGTACTGGATGGATACTATTCCCAGAGTGACGCAAACATTTAACAGTGTGTGCGTGCATGTGTGATCTTTTAGAGAGAGAGTGGAGAAGAGAGGGAAAGACAGAGAAATATCGATGTGAGAGAAACACATCAATTAGTTGCCTTCTGAATGCACCCCAACCAGGGCCCAGGCTGGGGAGGAGCCTGCAACCAAAGTATGTGCCCTTGACCTGAATCGAACTTGGGACCCTTTGGTCCTCAGGCTGACGCTCTATCCACTGAGCCAAACTGGCTAGGGCTCCACTATCTCTTATAGGGTCACTATTCCTGCGGTGGCTTCCTATTACTTCATCTGTCATGTTGTCACAGCCAACTTTATCTCTTATTCCTCTTTAACATGTACCCTCTCCAGCCATGCACATGGCCTCGGTGTTGCTTTGTCTGACAGCTCATTCTCAGCTTCTATGCTTTCTAGATTACCTTCATTCATACACTGATGCATTTATTCATTCAACATATAGGAATTGAACCCCTCTTATGTTCAAGCTGTGGTCTTGGGAAATCCATGAATCCCATTATTGTGTTGTTAATCCTCACCAAAGGATATTTTTTCCATTGATTTTTAGAGTGAGTGGAGGGAAAGGTGGGAGAGAGAGAAACAGCAATGTCAGAGAGTCACACTGATTGGTTGTCTCCTGCACGTGCCCCAGTCAGGGCTGGGAAGAACCTGAAATCCAGGTATGCACTCTTGATGGATTTCAAACCTGAGACTCGTTGGTGTGCAAGCCAATACTTTAACCATTTGAGCACATCAGCCAGGCAGAATCCTGTTCTTCTTTTTAAAATCTCTTTGATTGGTTTCAGAGGGAGGGTTAGAAAAGTCAGTGATAAGAGAGAAAATCATTGATCAGCTGCCTCCTGCATGCTCCCCCAACACCCCCAACAGGGATTGAGCCTGTAACTCAGGTATGGGCTCTGACCCGGAATTGAACCTTAGGCTCCTGGTTCATGGCTTGGGAAGCTCAACCACTGAGCCGCCCCAGCCCAACTGAATCCTGTTCTTATGAATGTTATAATCTAGTAAGGTCAGCACACAAATAAACGTAATGCAAAATAGAAAATGAATGCCAAAATAGTAAGAAAGCAAAAAGTTTCCTGCTAGACAGAGAAGAGTATGGCTTCTAAGGATTTGAATTTGGGTGAAGAGACCAGGCAGTGGTCCAAGTTCTTCAAGGTCCAGTTAAGGCCATCCACCCAAGGTTGTTCTACCTGTTCTCACTGTGCAAGGTATAGTCACGGTTTTTTCCAGACTTATTTTCTTCTGCAATCAGGGGAAATCTTTCCTTTAAGCGAATCTTATATATGGAGCAGTTAAGGTGGAGGTGCTTTCTTTGGTGCAAGGGGTGGTGGCCCTGGTGTTTAACCCAGCGGGGGCAGGTGATATTCAAGGCGCTTTTCCACAAGAGATCCAGAGAGCCCAGTTTGAAAACCAGTGGAGGGAGGGGAAACGTTTTGGTTTTAGCATCTGAATTAAAATCTTTGATTTAGTGGTCTGAGGTCTTGACCAGGTCAGGTCTCAGTTTTCCTTTTGCTACCGTTCAGGGTTGTTTTAAGGTTTACAGATAATCTGGGTAACGTGCTTAGCCCACGGTGCTTGTCAAAAAATGGTTGGTATTATTATAGTTTAGTGCTTTGTTTCTTTCAAAAACATAATTTATTGAGGCAAAATTCATATAACATAAAACTAACCAGTTTAAAGTGAACATTTCAGTGACATTTAGTATATTTAGTGTTATGGGACCACCACCTCTAGTTGCAAAACATTTTCATCAATCCAAAATACCCCGCCCTGCTACAGGCCCCAGAATCTATGTTCTGTCTACGGATTTAGTTATTCTGAAGGTGTCATATATTAGAGAGAGAGGAAGCAGGGGGGCAGACATCAAGGTGATTGAGAAACATCAACTGCTTGCCTCCTGCACCTGCTCCAACCAGGATCGAACCCTCAACCTGGGTGTGTGTCCTGACCAGGAATGGAACTGGCAACCTTTTGATGCATGGGACAACACTTAACCAAGTTATACTGACCAGGGCCACAATATGTTTTTGAGATTCATCCACATTGTGCACTGTAGCATGCATTAATACCTCATTCCTTTTTTTTTTTTTTTTTTTTAAATTGACCTCAGAGAGGAGGGAGTGGGCGGAAAGAGAGGAAGAGAAACATGGGTTGGTTGCCTCTCCCATGCGCCCCGACTGGGGATCAAACCCATCACCTGGGTAAGTGTCCTGACCAGGAACAGAACCTGCCACCTTCTGCTATGTGGGATGACGCTCCAACCAACTGAGCCACACCAGCCAGGGCGTTCGTTCCTTTTTATGACTTATAATATTCCAGTGTAGGGATAGATACCACATTTTGTTGATCCATTTTTTGGTTGGTGGGCATGGAGCTGTTTTGGATTTTTGGCTATTGTGACTAGCGCTGTCAGGAATTTGTAGATGCTTTTTATTTGAGTACCTATTTTACTTTCTTTGGGGAATATACCTAGAAATGTAATTGTGGGGCCAGATGGTAATTTCATGTTTAACTTTTGAGGCACCACCAAAGAGGGCTTGATTACTTCTTGCCCCATAGCACCTACTGTAGGAGAACACCACCTCCTTTAAGCATTTGGTGGTGGTTCTCTGATTAGTATTTATAATCTGACCTCCCAATTCCTACGTTTTGGGCCTCAGGAAGTAACTTTAGGGAACATAGATGCCTCCAGGACTTGGAAGTTAACTAATATCACCATATGGCTGATGTTGGATGTTGTCAGACAGCAGATATTTGTTAACCGAGGACACTATTTTGAACAGCTCTGCCAAAAGTCTATTCTGGATGGTTATAGAAGAAAAGAAGTGAATGTCCCTTTCCTTAAGCAGTGTTATGTTCCGTTTCAGAAGATACTGCTAAGATTTGTGGGTCCTTGTTCAGTTACATAATTGGCCATGAAAAATTCCAGGAGCATATAAAAATGAGAGCTAAAAATAACCTAGCAAGTAAAACTTGAGATGACAAAAGAGTAAACTCTATTATTAATCTTTATTTTTTTCTACCACTGTTTTTGGCTCATCTATAATCTCATGACTCCAGTGTTATGACGTTGATTTTTGAAACAAAACACACAGCTTTAGTAAAAGCTTGGAGGAAGCTTCACATAATATTTATGATCCAGGGTATTTTGACTCCTCTTATGCTGACATGAATATTTCTGAACAGTGCTGATATTTATATGATGCTAATGAAGCCAAAAACTCAGTGTTGGATTAAGCATTTCTCTAGATCTGTTTACAATAGTTTGTAATGAGTGATGTGAAGTGTTTTATTATGATTGTATGATACAACCGTATAATTTACTGATACTATTTTGTAGTTAAAAATAAAGAGATTCAAAACCTCAGAAAGGAGAATAATTTAATTTGATGTAGCACGAGTCTCCAAAATTAATTTGAAATGACTCAGTCCCTTTTTGGTAGCCTACTATCAAAAGTGCAACTTTCAAGTTTTTATAGAAAAAAAAAAGAAAAGAGAATAATGATTTTTAGGGTTGCACTGATAGTGCCTATAAAACAAATCCTAGTACTCTGAAAAAGAGAAGTGGTATGGGTAATTCCAGATCAGGAGGACAAAAAGCATTTATTGTATTTGGCTTTTGAATGAATTATGCATTTTCTTTGCTATGGATTTGTCTTTCTAGTTAGATACTGCTTAGACTTAAATTGATTTTCAATCTGTTCTCTTAGGGTATACCAATTTACAGTGGGGCCAGTAGAATCAAACAAACCAGCCTAAAATTAAAAAAATTTCTAGTGGATAATATTCAAAGTGGATAATATTCATGTGTTTAGTCAAGAATTGGCTACAGATAAGAGACTTCTGATTTTGCTCCTGTCCTAGCTATGTGTGTGTTAAAAAAAACACACACACCGATTCTGCTTGTAGCAAAGAGTTGCTGAGTTACATCTGCTTCTGCCTAATTAACTGTTGGCTGGTGTCAGATGAGAGCTAATTTTGAGATTAAATTGAGGAGCCGGGTGTGTTTCTGTGGCTGGGGGAGGGGTGAGCGGGACCTAAGGTTGCTTGGCTGTTTGTATAAGATGCACTAAGTGTACTCACAGTGTTGTGTTAAACTTATTTTTTTACCTTTGAAGTAAAAATGATCAATACTGTCCTAAAATATGACCTGTGTAAACACATCCTCACCACCCTGGAAACTTGTACGTCCCTCTTAGGCACGGTTAATAGGCCTGATCTTGATACCAATCAGTACCAAGATGCCAGGGGGCCTTTGGGACAAATAGTGAAAATTGCCTGGGAAAGTTAACATTGACTATTAAACAATATTTGATTCTTTTTTATTTTTTTCCCCAGAGGGAAAAATATGTTATACCTGCCTGGCTGTTAGGATAATGGAATTTTTTCCCCCTTCCTTGATGAGATCATTCTCTATCATATACCTGATTTTTAACAATTTGGAGAACCGGTGTGACTTTAAAGAAGAGCAACATTTACCTTTTTAGTCACTTGCTTTGGGACTTCTTCCCTGTCCCGAATCCTCTCTTCTTAAATACCCTTTAGTGATGTGAAAGAGTTAATACATCACCAAAGGTGGTGTACTAATTAGCAAACTCACTGCAGCTGTGTGTATTGACTAGCGAAGGGAGTCTTAGCTGGTTGCTGAATCTAAGGGCTGTCCTCGTGCCCAAATTAACATTTACTTTTTTTTCTTTTTGGCAGATTTGCCTGAAGATCTGGACAATCTTCTTTTTTTGTCATGGACTATTAAAACCTTTGGAGTTCCAATTCTGGTATTTTCCCTTATTATATTTTTAAGATATACGATGTCAGTCTTACTGAAATGTGTTGGTAATAGATATGAATGATGTTTTTGATTGTGGGGTAAGGATTGTGGCAACAGCTTGCCACGAAGGCTATTTGTTAGCTATGAAATACGTTTTGTTTTAAAAATGTATGTTCATCTGCTTGTGCAGTCACCATGCCTGAAAGCAGCTTTGTAGTATTGGATGCTTCTCTGTGGTCTCTCTTCCTGCTTCCTGCATTTGTATTTTGTAGAATCAAATTAGATTCGTTGATTCATCTTGAATAAACGATGAAAGATGAAATAATTACTTGGACCCAGTAAACTGTCTTCTAATGAAATTTTGCCCTAAACCATTTTACTTTGGAAAGGTCAGCTTCCTGTTCTAAACTTTCTAACCCAGAATGATCCTTGTGTTCTGTCGTGAAAATGGTTGCACTGTGATTTCATTCTTACACACACCATGTTACAAGTCTTAACATTTTTGTCAGTGATTTATGTAATGACACAGAGGGACATGCTTATTAGGTTTGCAGATGACATGGATGACAGAATCAAGCAAAGCAGTCTTTAATAGGTTGGAAGATAGCCTCAAACCAACAAAATTAACTTGAACTGTAGTAAAATATAAATCTCAGCATTTAACTTTGCACAAAAAAGGGAATGGGGATTCAGCTTGACAGCATTTTTGGAAGGAGATTTGGGGTTTTTAGAGGGACTGCATGCTTAGCATAGCCAGCGAGTGGCAGGGCTGCTAAGAAAGTTCACGTAACCTTGGATTGCATGTATAATTGGACAGTGCCCAGACTGCCAGCGAAGAAGGAAGTTTTGGAAACCATGTGATATGTGGAGGTGGTCAGGCACTGGGATATGAATGGCCTAACGTGGGGCTGGAGGTAGAATGGGGTTTGATTGTAGTGTTTTTTTTTTTCAATGTTCAAATATCGGAAGGCCTGTCTTATTAAAGAATTAATAAGAATTTCTTGAGATTGTTTCAGGGAAACTAGGACTACTTGGTAGAAATTATGGGGAGGCAGATTTTGGCTCCTTTGAATAAGAAATACATTACACTTAGACCTGTTCAGTGGAGTGAGCTGCCTCAAAAAGTGACAAATTCTCAGCCTAGATGGTTTGGCTCAGTGGATAGAGTGTCGGCCTGTGGACTGAAGGGCCACAGGTTTGATTCCGGCCAAGGGCACATGCCTGGCTTGCAGGCTCGATCCCTAGTAGGGGGCATGCAGGAAGCAGCCGATCAATGATTCTCTCACACGAAAGATGTTTGTATCTTTCGCTCCTTCTCCCTTCCTCTCTGAAATCAATTAAAAAAAATTTTTTTTTTTTAAAGTGACATCTCAATTACTGGAAGTATTTTGAGACTTATGGCCCATGTGTTAAGAAATTAAATAAGGGACCTTTTACTGGTAACTAGAAGTTGTAATGGATGGCCTTTAAGGTTCCTTCAGCTACAAGTTTCTGAATCTGAAGGGGGGGGGGAATGGAGTGAACATACAGTTCACGGATTGCAAAGAGGACAGTCCTTTTTTTTTAACTCTTCACCTGAAGATATTTTTTTCCTACTGATTTTAGAGCGAGTGGAAGGGAGGAAGGAATGGGAGGAGAGAGAAACATCGATGTGAGAGAAACACATTGATGGATTGCTTCTCATGTGGCCCAACAAGGCAGGAGATTGAACCTGCATCCTAGGTACATGCCCTGGACCAGGAATCAAACCTGCAACCCTTAGATTCTTGGGCCAATGCTCCAACCACTTGGCCAAACTGGCCAGGGTGGGGACAGTCTTTTTTCAAGTATCTCTTTCAAGCTGACTAATTATAGATCAGTGGCACAACTGTTGTTAGCAATAGAATCTTTGAGAGCAAATGTTGTATTTTCCAGGATATCTGGCTAAAGTTTTGAGGAAATCATTAATTTCCTTTTTTTAAGTACGTACACTAAATCTTTTTAATTTTGTATTTTATGAGACATTTTTTCAGTGTGTAGACATCACATTTGGTGGAAGTGATGGCTGTGTTTTGAATATTAAGTAATGTATTCACTTAATTTTCTCAGTAATTCTGTGAGGGATATATTATTATTGCCTTAAAGATAAAGTACTACAACTTAAGTCATTTTCCCAGGGTTTCTCTGCTAGACATTGGTGTAGCTGGCACTTATACCATTGGCCTAATTGCAAGGCAGAACTAGCTAGAGCAGGCAGTTACGGCTCAGGTGAAGGTAGTGCTGGACTTAGATATTAGAATATGGCATTTGAGCCTGGAGTCTACCATTGACTATTATTACCTTGAGTGAGCTACATCTTCCCCTGAACCTCAGTTTACCCAAAGTTATCCTGGAGATTAAATGAAGTTATAGGTGAGCACAGTCTTAAACTTTAAACTATAAAAAGAGTTAAGATGTGGATATTATCAGTGCAGAAGTAAGACAGAGCCCAGATTTGACCCAACTCCTAGGCCAGGAGATCTTTGCAGGGGTACTTAATACCAGTTTAGAGGTCCAGAATGATTTTTGTACACCAAGAGGTTCTCAGAGAGCAATACATACTACTGTCTCCCTGCAGTCAGATTTGTATGATCCTTTCATTGAACAGTTTCATGAGTTAACTGGGTAGTAAGATACATAGAATGCTACATTATTTAAAAGATAAAGGGTTTGCTATTGTGTTTATTATGTTTTTTTTAAAATAAATTTAATTTAGAGAGAGGAAGGGAGAGAGGGATAGTGAGCTAGAAATGTCAATGATGGAGAGAATCATTGATTGGCTGCCTCCTGTACATTCCCTACTGGGGACGGAACCTGCAACCCAGGCATATGCCCTGTCCAGGAATTGAACTGTGACCTCCTGGTTTATGGGCTGCCATTCCACTACTGAGCTACACCAGCTGGGCGAAATTTTCTTATGTGTGAGGCTTGAGAAATATAATATCTAGCTGAAATAGAAGAATCAGGATTATTGCTTTTTTTAAGTTTAAGATTTCTTAAAGTAAGTTTAATGCACTTCCATCAGATTTTTTTTGTATCATAGACTTATTCTTTGATGTTGAATACTTTCATGTGTTTTTATTACTTTCAGTAAAGGTTATCCATTAAATATATAACTTAGATGTGATCTCTTAAATGCCCCATAAGTGACCTAATTAAATAATAAGTGAAAAATCCTAAAAAAAAATATTTCTCAGACTGAGACCCAATTTCTGGTTAGAAAATATAGTCACTGAGACTTTGTTAGATAATGCTTTCCTGTTATTAATTTTGGGATCACTTTGCATTGGAAAAAAGTAATACTAAAGAGTCTTTTAACTTATTTTTAGAAGTTCTTTATTAAGAGCCTTCTCCCCCCCCCCTTTTTCTCCTTTAAGGTCTTGAGTTCCTACTTAAAGATGTTCTTCGCCCGAACGCAGTCTTTCCTGTTGGTTAAATAAGACATCTGCCGACACTGCCTGTTGGTCCTCTTTTAACCTCTTAAGGATGGATGTTTGTAAGATGTTGCTTCCTATGTTCTGGAGTACTCTGCCCATTTGTTGAATTGTAAATGACTTTTAAACGTGCAAGTTCAGTTAAATACAAGGAGAATCTCTATGGGTAACTTTTGTGTTGAAGAAGTCATTTGTCAACCATGGTAAAACTTGCAAACCCACTTTATACAGAGTGGATTCTTGAAGCTATACAGAAAATAAAAAAGCAGAAGCAAAGGCCCTCGGAAGAGAGAATCTGCCATGCGGTCAGTACTTCCCACGGGCTGGATAAGAAGACGGTCTCCGAGCAGCTGGAGCTCAGCGTTCAGGATGGCTCCGTCCTCAAAGTCACCAACAAAGGCCTTGCCTCCTACAAGGACCCAGACAACCCTGGGCGCTTCTCCGCGGTCAAACCGGGCACTTTTCCCAAGTCAACCAAGGGGTCTAGAGGAACGTGTAGCGATCTTCGCAACGTGGATTGGAACAGACTTCTAAGGAGAGCAATCGAAGGACTGGAGGAGCCCAGCGGCTCCTCCCTGAAGAACATAGAGAAGTATCTCAGAAATCAGAGCGATCTCACAGGCACCACCACCAACCCGGCCTTCCAGCAGCGGCTGCGGCTGGGGGCCAAGCGCGCGGTGAACAACGGGAGGTTACTGAAAGACGGGCCGCAGTACAGGGTCAATTATGGGAGCTCCGATGGCAAAGGGGCCCCCAAGTTCCCCAGCGCTTTCCCATCCTCGCTCCCACCTGTCAGCCTTCTGCCGCATGAGAAAGACCAGGTAAGTGAAGAGAGAATGTTCATGCATTCTCAATACGGCCCATTCACCTTGTATAGTTTCAGCTACGTTTTATAAGGACCAAAGTTCTAAGTCAAGTTTGACCGTCTTACAATATAAAGTGTTCTGCATTGTTTTACAGTAGATTGAGGGTTTCTTTGTTGGTTGATTAAGAATTTAATGTGGTTTTAGTGATTTGTGATTTTTTTTAAAAAAATATGTTTTTATTTATTTCAGAGAGGGAAGGGAGAGGGAGAAAGGTATAGAAACATCAGTGATGAGATTCATTGATTTGCTGCCTCCTGCACGCCCCCTACTGGGGATCAAGCATGCAACCTGGGCACGTGCCCTGCAGGGAGTCGAACCTGGGACCTCTTGGTCCACGGGATGTTGCTCATCCCACGGAGCCACCACAGCCGGGCTGTGATTTGTTTTTTTAAACTCTAATTATTAACCTGATAACCGATGAGCTCTTGAAGAGATCAGGATAGATAACTTTAATTCTCCTTCCTCAAGGCAGGATCATATATATTTTTAAAAATCTAAGGAAGGCCACTGTATATTTTTCTCTTTTTATTATTTATTATTTATCTTTAGTTTTGGTTTTATTGAGGCATAATTGACATTTTCCTCTTCTTATATTGAGAGAAGAATTTATAGGCCAATTATTTTAATACTGATAGTCTATGCATTCCTAGAATTGTTTTAATATGTGACCTAAGTTCTGCCTATTTCAACTTGAAGTCATTTATTATTGCCAACTTCTTAGAGATTGAAAGTGGATATTTTGTCTCATAACATTTCTTATACTCTTTGGTTTCTCTGGGCCTTATGTTATTTCTGTAGTATTTGTACATATATAGCAGATTTCTCCTTAATTACTGCTATACTCCTGCTCTTTGATTGAGTGGGATTTTTCTTTGTTTTGTTTAAAAGCTACTGAAATCACTGCCCAAAATAAATAAAAATAGAGCAGTAGCAAATTGTCTATAAAAATCCAAGCCCTCCAGTTTTCAAGCTTGTTGTCTGCCCTTTGTGCAGGTGGATGCATTTATATCAGTTAACTTTACGTCTTGTACAACTTTCCCCATTGGATGGCAGGGTGGCTGTAAATGTTAACTACATTTTTAGAAGTGATGGAAATAGAACTGTTAGGAAACATTGTGCTCCTGGTGGGTATTTTTTCTCTTTGGATACTGCCAGCCTTTACGATTGACCTTACTTCCCCCAGTGCTTGAAGCTGATAGGGACCCAGCCCTAGAAACTGGGCAGGACCAGGTGGTTTGCCTTTCCATGGACCACTATGAAACCAAGAGTTTATAGCTTAACTGTATTTTCATTTTATTCGTTTTCCTCAACATTTATTTTACCCTTTGGTGGTATTTGTGTTTGTGTCAAGGACCAATTCTCAGTTCTTTGTGAGAGAATGTGGACATAAAGGAAGAAGTCAACCTATGAAATTTTCTTTTAAATAAACTTGTTTTTAAAAAATTACAGCAAATGACTCAAATCCTAATTCCTGTGTCTGACAGAGCCACACTAAGCACTTCTGTTCCTCATTTAATATTTTTATAAAAGTGTATCCCTTGAGATTTCTCAAGGGAATATAGAGCCATTTCTTGATGGATTAGAATAGCTTTGGTTTTAAAATATATACATTCATTATCCTAAGGTATATTAAGGTTTTATGATGATCAGGTATGTGGACTAATTCAGGCAGCTTTAGGCAATTTAATGTTTCAAAAATTTTGTGATCCAGGGGATATTTTTACTTGTGATAGAGGAATGACTTCAAATTTTCCACAATCCCTTTCCTTCTCTTTCACCTTGCCACCATTTCTTGCTAACCTTATCATTTTTTTTTTTCCACAGCATCTGTACTGAAGTATTTTTAGTCTAGGAAAATTCATGTCTGAAAGTGTCTAGGATTGAGAGCAGAGTAATTTATTGCTTAGCATGCAATTGTTACTGCTTTTTTTTGTGATGCTGATCTTTAAATTGTCCAGTTGGCACCATCATATCATAAGGAAAGCTGAGAAAATGTGTCCTAGAATTTTTGCTTGATGAAGTTTGGAGATCAGTTGTATTCAGTAATTATAATCTAGTTCTTAAAAAAAAAACAAAACCAAAAACACCCAAATAAGTGAAAATCAGGTCAAGTAATTTTGGCCACAATGTATTATTGTATGTGCCATATATTACAGTAGCATTTTTTCTTTTAAAAAATGTAATAAAAACTACACCAAAATTGTCTTTTGAGATTGCTAGTGGTAAATAGTTTAAAGCCATGTAAACTTGCTAAGTAGGTATAATAAAAATTCTTAATCTGGGCCCATGAATGAGTATGGGGAATGTATACCACTAATCCCCTGAAATAGAACAGTTATGTGCATCCACATGTTTTTCTAGGGTCGGGGTCTATAGTTGTTTGTTTTTTTAAAATATATTTTTATTTTATTTATTCTTATTTAAAAATATATATATATATTTTATTGATTATAGAGAGGAAGGAAGAGAGAGAGAAACATCATTGATGAGAATCATCGATCGGCTGCCTCCTGCAAGCCTCCACTGGGGATTGAGTCCACAACTCAGGCATGTGCCCTTGATTAAATCGAACTTGGGACCCTTCAGTTTGCAGGCCATCGCTCTATCCACTGAACCAAACCAGCCGGGGCAGGGTCTATCGTTTTTATCAGATTCTCAGAGGGATTCAAAATATCAAATAGCCAATGTGAACAGTTTTGGAATGTAGAAAATATTTTGAGTTTCTTGCCTAAAAGAAACTAATGCTAGTTTTCTTGCTTCTGCTGCTGAACTTGGATCTGTATTGGTTGTACTGTAGTTTTTGTAGATGGAACTTTTAAAAATATTTTTGAAAGACAGATTCTCACTGTTCTTGTGCTAGAAGCCTGTAGCTAGAAGCCTGCATTGTGGGAGGACATTTCTGATATAAATAGCAACTGTTTGTACAGAGAGAAAGTAATCTCAATTACAGTTTAGTCAACTGATGTCTTTCAAAGAAGCTGTTATTCTAGTTACTTTTGCTGAGCAGTTTCATTTAACTGTAAAAAAAAATTTTTTAAAGTAGTAAAAATAATAACTAAAATTTCTTAAGGGTTAAATGCTGGTACTATTCCAGGTGCTGTATATTTATTATCTTCTTATCATAATAACTGTGAGGGCTATATGATATAGGTTTTTTATCCTTACTGGACAGATGAAAAACTGAGGCTCAAAACCTAAGTAATTTGTCCAAGGTCACTCACAGAGCTGGTGAGAGGTGAAGCCAAGATTCTAACAGCCAGTCTGACTCCAGACCTTTTTATTGCTGGGCCGGCTATTGGCCCACAGTAGTGACCTTTCATTAACAGTAAAAGTATCTCTTCCAAGTTCTGCAGCTGCTTAGAAGCCATTTTCCCCCAACAAATACCTTTCTGGCATTTTAAATTTGGTAGTTTTTAAAGCACATACTGTTTATAATATTAGCAATATGGGAAAGCAGTAGGGAAAACAGTAAATCTGTGTCTAATTAGATTTAACATCATCATTCCTATGCATGTCTGCTAGGAAGAGTACAATGCAAGTTAAAATAGGAGGGCTCCTTTCCTTTCTGAAATGTAATTGCACATCTTCTGATAGTCTGGAATTCAAATTGGATATTACCACACTGGCTCCCTAGCATGACTTCTTTGTATTTGTTTAAGAAAGCTCTCTTTGGTGAGGTGGTACGGAAATGAATTAAACCACTGCAGATAACACTTTATCTTTGGCTTGGTGAGGGAACTCCTAAAGGATAGTATTAGTGTTTCTCATTAAAAGTGGTAAAGCTCAATTAGGTCAGATTATGAGGACTTTGGAAAGTCAAATATTCTCAGAGAGACTCCGGTTATCACCACAGACTTTGTAGCATTAAGATTCCTTTTAACGTTGGGCTTCAGCATTTTTATAAAATCAGCTTAGTTCCATTTTATTTTATTTTATTTATTTATTTATTTTAAAATATATTTTATTGATTTTTCACAGAGAAGAAGGGAGAGAGATAGAGAGCCAGAAACATCGATGAGAGAGAAACATCGATCAGCTGCCTCCTGCACACCCCCCACCGGGGATGTGCCCGCAACCAACGTACATGCCCCTGACTGGAATCGAACCTGGGACCTTTCAGTCCGCAGACCGACGCGCTTAGTTCCATTTTAAACAGAGTCCTTGGTATTTCACTTTATTGGGAATAACTTCCTACACTTATTAAGGATCAAATCTTGGTATGTTTGTAGTATAGCAGGTAATATATGGGACCCCTCATTCTGGCTACATGGTTGGAAAGGGAGATCTTCTAATATCAGGCCGGGCTTTGATTTAAAAAAAAAAAATTTATATATATATATATATATATATATATATATATATATATATATATATATATATATTATTGATTTCCGAGAGGGAGAGGGAGAGAGAGATAGAAACATCAATGAGAGAGAATCACTGATCGGCCGCCTCCTGCAAGCCCCCTTACTGGGGACCGAGCCCGCAACCCAGGCCTGTGCCCTTGGTTGGAATGGAACCCGGGACCCTTCAGTCCACAGGCCAATGCTCTATCCACTGAGCAAAACCAGCTAGTGCTGATTTTTTTTTTTAAGCAATGAAATGGCTATTAGAATCTTACAAAAATAGTCAAACATAATTACAAAACAGTAATGCGTCAGTGAGAAAAGGAGTCTTAAAAGGAGCACACATGATCGGAAGCATGGCCTTGGCTTGTTCTGTTTACTCTATTTGTCCCCCACACCCCTTTTAGGGAGATATTTGGTTATGGTTTTTGGCAGTGATATTAGTATGAAATATTTACATAAACAGAAGATTAATGCACATCATACTTCAGTTACTTGGGTTGTATAAATGTCATAAGTTAAAGGGCTTTACTTTTAGATTTCCTTCACTTTTCTCCATTCTATCCTCTAATCTCCCGGCCCATTATCTTTGCCCCAGAAGACGGACTC